ACAGTAGAGAAGAGAACAATCTTTGTGCCCAGATTTCTTTGCTCTGCAGGGTAAGTTTTACAAAGCTGACAACCGGTAGCAACATGTAGCGGCCTCAGGCGTCAAGCTTGCCTATCAAAGACTTGGACTTTAGCCCTGGAAAAATTACAGCTTCTCACTTCTCTGGAATCTATACTGGACAACAAGAAAGCAAGAGAGTAATGAATGACCTAACTAAAAATTATTTTAATACATGGATTGCATACTATAAGCCGTACACTTAGGAGTACAGGGAGAACTGGGAGGAGATGCAGAGAAGGAAAGCATCACATATTGATAGGAACACCATAGCCACAGATGACAAAAGACAACCAGCTGGGGTTGCTACAACAGTGAAGTCATCTACTGGAGTGGTAAGGGGCTGGCACACTGAATGGAAAGTATGGGTCCAGCAGATAAGCCCTGGAGACAAAAGAGGAAGCTCAGCAGTTCAGGCTGGGAATGACAGTGGGGAAAAGGCACCTTAGGAAATCATTAGTTGAAGAGCTAGCCAGCAGGAATATGGAGAGAAAGTAAATCCAAGGAAGCTACACAGATGTGAATAGAAAAGGTATTTGGTCCTCTGGAGCACTGATGAGGCTTACAGCTTCATCGCTGCATCCTTCTGCAGGACTTGAAGCCACCCTGGCCACCTCTCTGCTGGGTGGCAGGTGCGAGCAGGCACGGCCCAGCTCTTACCTGCTGTCCCTAGGTGTCCATACACTGGTCATACGGGGGATCCCTCACCAACAAAACAGCTCAGCTGCTGCCAGCAACCAAAGCCACTTTGGCACCCATGCAGTCTGAGGATGGCTGTGGCTTCAAGGCCAGGAGAAGGGGTGAGCTGACCTGATGCACAGAAACACCCACCACCACCCACTTTGCATCTGCACAGGCACACTTGCCCTGCAGGACTTCTGCAACATCCATTTTAATCCAGTGTTCAACAACAGCTAAAGTAAACTGCCAAACTGAAGGCCCAGAGTTATGGTCAGAGACTTTTTTGAAGCCCCACAAGAGACTCAAACTGTTTCAGCTTCCTCTCCCCAACGACAGCCTTGAGCTGTTCTTGCCTGGCTGCCGGAAGCCTGTGACGTGAAATAAAAGCCAGGAAATACGACTTTCTGAATAAACATTTATTTGGTGAGAAATACTTCTGATTTTTTGGCAGAGAAACGGCAGAAACCTGAAGCCCTATGTATAGCATGCCTGCAGAGAGCACTTTCTATTTAAAGGGAAGCTGCAGCTGTCTGTAGCTCTTAATGAAGAATAATGCCTAGGAATAAATTACTGCTGTTTCTGAGAGACATTTCTCAAATTAAAGTGATTCTTCCCTTTTTCCCTCTCACTATAAATACCGAGTGGCATGTACTGGGCTGTTGTTTGGAAGAACGGACACATGCAGCTCTGCTCTTTTCTCAGCAGCCTGGTAATTTCCATAGAAAACCATGGAGTGATTTAGCATATGGATAATACCAAAGTGACACAAAAGCAGAGACATCCAGAATCATTAAGTCTGAGTGTGTCAAAGCTTCCCGTTGCTCTTCCAAAGTGCATACAGCTCAGAACAGAAACCAGGCATCACTTCCAACCACGCCACAAGCCCTGAGCTGAGGCTCCAGGCGTGGGAGATGGCCGCTCACAGAAAACCGCCGTGAAAGGCTCGCTAACCTTCAATTTCCATCACTTGCACAAGCCTCCTCCCTGAGGGGCTGCTGCAGCAGCAGGATGGGCAGGCTGAGAAGGTGATGCTCTGGGGAGAGGGTGTGCCTGGGCTGCAGCCAGCATGGCCAGGCGGCTCAGGAAGCAGCACTGACATCAGCTCCAGGAGCTGTCGCTCCCAGACCCGTCGCAGCTCCACGTGCCAGGAAAAACAGCCGGCAGTCGGGGGGGAGTACATAGGAGATAGGACCCAGGGTAAAGGAAGCAAGGAGGGCCAAGGAACAGAAAAAGCAGGCAGCAGCTCAAAAATGGGATGGAACAGGGGCTAAACCATGCGCAGCCATGACCCACCAAGACCCTCTGCGGAGTCAGCCCTTACAGCAGCAGGTTCCCACTGAGGGCAGGGCATAGAAAGCCTGTCTGGGCTAGAAGTGGGGATGTTTACTATCCTACCATCTGCAGTTTGCCCAAAATAACAGTTATAGATATGAGATCAACTAAACACGTTTCTGTTATTGACACATACTGGATTTAGAGATTTATTTTCCATTTCCCACAAACTGTGCCAGAGGTTTTCGCCTAAGCACAGAAAAAAAAAAATTATGTGAAGAAATGCCTGTGAGTGAGGAACATTAAGCGTTTATTCATTGCTCCTGTTAGAATGTGTTCGTGCTTGTGTGGCTAGCACTCCAAAAAAGCTGTGGCATATGTTTTCAGAAAGGGAAAAAAAAAACCTCAGGATACCTACATCCTACCAGAAAATTACAAAACCGTATGCTGGAATACACAAGGTACCCTCTGGCAAGAGCAAAGGAGTCTTGTCTTGCTTCATTTTTACCCTTACTAAAATAAACGTTCCTCCTTAAGGAACCCTCCTGACATCTCTTTTTCTCTCCCCAGAAGTGGAATATGGACTTGATTTGCACAAGCACTGCTATTCCAGAAATGTGTTGCATCCAAATGAAGAGAGCAGGAAAAGGGAAGCGAGAAATTTGTACTGTTTAGTAAACAGGCAGTTTCTAGGTGGATACAAGACACTGGTCCCAATTTACTGCTCCCCTCCCTCCTCACACCCCCCCTTCCTCTGAAATTTGCCTGGGTGGCAGAAGGAGGCAGCAGAAGGGAAAGAGAACAGCTACCACTTGCAGTGGGAAAGGTTTGATAATTTTCCTCACATCTTAACATGATAACACCCTGCAAACAGGGAAGAGAGAGCAGTATTTTTCAGTAACATCACTGTATGCCAGTATTTCCTTTCAGGAGAAGCACTGTACCTCCTCACCTCTGGTATTCTTGTCTCCCTGAGAGGTTAAAGGAAAGAGGAGAGGAGGAGCCTAGCTGACTGCCTCCTTCTTGCAGCACTGTCCTCCAAGCAGAAGCCTGGTGACGAAATACACTCTCAAGGAACTGCTAAAAAGCTCTCCATCACCTAGAAATGATTCCTCAAAAGGAACCAGTCCTGGATGCCAGGGTAAGAGCAATTCTCAAGAACACTTTTTCCCATCCATACCTGGTGAGAAGAGTGCTGTTTTTCCTGCACAAACCCAGGCCTTCTGAGTGTAATCAGGGTTTTGGCAGCACAATAGCAGAACATCACACTGTGCTTTTAAGTGGGCTGATTTTAAACCATTTAGGACAGGGCAGAATGTAATGATCACAGTGAAGGCATCTTCAACAGATATTCCATCCCCTGTAATGGCTGATGACTGTCTCTTTCAGTTTATCTGGCTGATCTGGCATGCCACATACCTTACAGGACCCAGGGAATGCTCTTCTTCACCTGAGGTGGTGCTGCTGTTGCTGTCAGTGGAGGTGATTGGAACATCTTGAACGAACATCTCCTGTTATCCCAACAGCTCTACATGCTAGGATGGTTTATCACTATCCCTATTATTATTATTATTATTATTATTATTATTATTATTATTATTATTATTATTATTATTATTATTATTATTATTATTATTATTATTATTATTCCTCTCCTTTTCTAGGATGCAAAGTAAGCTCTTGTGGTTTTAAAGAAACCTTCTGAAGTGTGAGAATATGCTGATATGGCCACATCTGCTTGGATACACAGACAGGGAGAAGATCCACATCTCAGAGGCCCCTTATTCATCTTAATGAGCTACTAACTTGGCAGCTTAATGGTAAGTAGTAAGCAACAATTCCAAATGTTGGCTTTGTTAACTATTTCACTCTAGATCAAAGTGGGTGGGAAAGGCAAGAGATGATAAAAAATTTTCAGTGACTTCTCTAATATTTATTTTGCAACTGGGTCTTGGGAAAGCAGCACCACTTAAACTCTGTCTTAATCTGCTTCCCAAAACCTGAACCCAAAGGGAAAAGCTGAGCAAAGGAGGGCATCCAACTCTGAAGAAGCTAGAAGGCATGCCAGAAAATACATTTACTACATTAATGGAAAGTGCACAGAATAGTTTGCTCAAACTGGGAGAATCTACATCTTGTTTTATCACTACTAACATCTTGAAGGACCACTGCATACTTTGGGCATAAGAATTAAATACTAACTTGCCTAACTTGGAAATTTCCATGGTTCTTTCTTAAGGAAAAAATAAGGATTATTCCAAAACCTGGCAGGCAGAGAGTGCTTGTTTTCCTCTTTTTGTGAGAATGTTTACATTTGATCTGCATGTTTGCCCATTTCAACCCAGAAAAGCAGTGGGCTTCATCAGAAAAACAATCCCTCATGGGAACATTTTCTTTAATTAATACCACAGCTGAATCAAGGTCTCAGTTGAGTGACGGCGTTTCCTTCAGAAAGGTGTGCTATTCCAATTCCCATGAACACAAATCCCTGAGAGGAGCATTTGTATTGGAAATACTCAAACTAATATAACAAACTGACCAACAGGAGTTTGAAATACCAGGCATAAATAACTACATTTGCATTCCTCTAATCTGAAAGTAGTCAAATAATTTCAACCATTGTACAAGTGTGCATAAAACTCCTAAATGTGACCTGTAGATTCATGAACTGTTATCCATAGTATTTTTCTTTTTTGTTAGGCTACACAGTCACATGGCTTTCCAATGCAGGCTCACATATTTAACTAAAAAGCAATAGCAGTATGACAAATAACTGCAGTAGTCCAAGGAAAAGAAACCCACCATCTTTCCTTAGATAACACTAGTCTTCCCTTAAACCCATTAAAAGAAAAAATAAAAAGTAAGAGGGAGAGAAATTCAAGTCTTTGGTGCTCAATGGAAGCACAGGGAAGGGACCAAACACTACATGGCAGATACTACCTCCCAAAAGACACGATTGGAAGTACTTGTTATCACTGCTAGGAACTCACAACATTCACTATGTTCTTCTTCAGGGAATTCTGGATTATCCTTTAGCATGAAGATTTTTCAGAAGCTGCTGGATTGTTCACAGGTCCTCACTGGTTTTCCTCTTTCAAATAAAGTAAGGTAGAGCTGTAAAACAAAAGCAAAACCAAGTAAGAAAGGAAAGCAAGGAACAAAAAGTGGAAAATCCATAGAGCTGTTTAACAAATGAACAATTGACTCCTACATCTCCTGGAAGCAAATGATTTTTTAATGAGCTCCCAAGATGGAAATTCCAGTACAGAGTGAGTGTATGGCAAACACTGATCTAGGATAGGAACAGTCATTTGCCCTGTACATATTATTACAAAAAATTAAAACCTGGTTCAGAATTGCTGAAACAGATAGATAATTAAAATAATTCTTGGATACTTCTGTTGCTGTATCTAGAGAAAGAAAAAACTATTTTGAGTTGTTGTTTAGAAAAGTATCTGCAAACAAAGTCCACAATGTGCAGAGAGATCCACAAAGGGAAGATTTTTGCTCTCAATGAAATCCTCTAAGGGAATGCAAACACCTATCTATTTTCATGGTTATCTGCAATATTGTAACAGAGGAGTACTGAACCAAAAATACACACACAGATTCTTGCTGTTCCTCAATAGGAAGTATTTTTCATATTCAAGATTCTTAATATTGTGTGGTTCTTTATTTGCTTTTTGACAAAATTTCATTGCGGACCAACTCCTAATTTATTTTTTTTTACCTATTACAGAAGGTATCAGACTATCCTCAACCTTTTTATTGGGCTCCGAAGAAACTTCTGGGTTTCATTTTTATGTGGACCCCACAGAGAATACTTAAAATCGAGTGTGTATTTCCACAGGCCACAAATCGAACATTTTTTCCTTGAGTCAGGTTCCCATGATCTACTTGTGCTTCTTAAATTCTTAGTTTCACTTCATGCCACCAACATTTCCTACCTCCTTAATGTAAGGCTTCTCAACATTTCACATGAGGATTGATGAGGTCACTTGAGGATTTGCGCACATGGATCCCGTCCTACCAGCCTTAGGGTGGAATCCACGTCCTCAAACCAAAAACAAGTGGAGGACAAAACTCTACACCTTAGACAGTGCAAACTCTCTTCACTTGTTGGAGGAAACAAGGCAATCTAGAAAATGATTCATGTGACCTATCAAGCATCTGGTTTAGGACAGAATGATTCACTCTCTAGAAAGGTCTGGTTCTCTCCATAAAGTGAGTCTAGACACTGAGCTCAGATTAGATGGCTACATATGAATGCAGATGAATCTCACACTACTGAAGGCGGGAAACAAGTCAGACAGATGGACAAGTGCAGTTCGTGAGTGAAGAGCAGAGAGAAGACAATGCAAGGATAAAAAAAAAGTTGCTATTCAAACGAAGTTTACACCTATGACTGTTTTAGTTGAACACACAAAACAACAACAAAACCTTTCAAAGCAGTATCTGCCCAGCTGATCCAGTTTTGGTGTAAGACTACTCCTGGATTTACTGCCTAAGGCTAAACCCTGATGGAGCAGTGTCTGTAAATCTGTATCCAGCTGGCTGGGACTCAGGCAGGCACCTGGCAATGATGACAACAATGACCACTACTCTCAAGGCACATGTGTCTTCGTTGTCTCCCTGATGGAAAGTAACAATGCAAGATACCTGTTTCAAAAATCTTCCCCTTTTAAGACACGGTGGTTTCTCAGGAGCTACAACTCCTGTGTGATAGAGTCACCACTACCCTGATACCCAGGCCCTGGCTTCACTTCCAAGACTTTGGTCAACAGCTTCTCTCCTCTACTGAACTGGGACTCTGCTGCTTATCTGACAGAGAAACACACCATCAGGCATGGTCTCACAAGATTTTTAACTTTAGAAAGCAGACCAAAGAGAGAAAAATAACTCAGACCTATTTTAAAAAAAGCCCTTGAAACCTTGCTTAAAACCAAACCAATTTATTTTCAAGCCATTTATTTTTTTTCTTTAGAAGAATCTCACAATTAAAAAAACTGTCGCAGCTCAAAATACTCAAACCATTTTGCTTCTAAGTGTTAAAATGAAAGATTTCAGCATTTGCAAATTACTTATGGTTTTTTTTCCCCCCCAATAATTTGGCAACCCTAAAAGTTGAAATTTTTATTTCTCATCTCTTGTCATTCAGCATTCAGGGGAACCTTTAAATGGAGTCCAAATGACTATGAGAAAATATTTAACATTTCCAACAAAAATAGATGGTTTCCAATTATTTTTAGTAAGAGCAGGGAAGTTTACTCCTTGCAAACTCCTGCTTGGATAGACTCCTGTGAGCCTCCCTGGAGAGTCAGCTGTGCATAACCTCGGGCTGACACCCACCACACTCAGTGACTAACTCCTTCCACTAACTTCAACAAGTGGGATTAGGGTTTTGATTCTGTTCAAGTTAGCGAGGCTCCAACTGCCCAAACCAGGGCTTTGATCACTGAATCAAGAGCAAGGCTGCCTGCTAGCTATGCAGTGATCTTGCTGTCAGCCTGGAATGTGTCTTGCAGACTCTAGAGCAAGGGACACAGAACAGGCCACAAGCAGCACCTGTGCAGTGGTGGTAGATACCTTCTCCACACACTCACATTTCATGGGAAAGATGACATAAAGCAAGGTAGCTTACACCTCAGGCAAAAAAAGGGGCAAGAGACCTTGTATTCACCGCTGGGTGCCTTTGTACCATGCACACAGCCAGTTATTACAGAGCAGATGATAAATTCACAAGCTAGTTTAATCTGCTACTACTTGCTCACTTGACCTTACCCATAGGCACTTCACTCAGTGAGGGCCAAGGCATGTCTGCCTGCAAATGTTCCCAGGTACTTTTATGCTTCAGATTTAAAGATAGCACAGCACAAAATTCAGGATACATGGAGAGATGCTGCCTCTTGAAGCACAACCCTCACCTGAAGAGCTGAGCACTCAGTCCCTAATTAGGACAATCTTTTTGTTATGCAGTTCTCATGGGCTCTGATGACATGCTCTTCATGGAACACGTACAACAGTCATAACTTGGAGGGACCAGCAGAGAAAGCTGGTTCACAGTTCAGTTAGGTCTTAACCAGACTTTGTGACTGAAGTTCCAACGTGATCAACAAATCATTATCACATACACGGTTACCGATCACATCTCCGCTATAAATGGGAAGCGTTACCAAGGAAGCTGTTTTGCATGGTCTCACAGCATTATGGTTTCTCAAATATCACAGCATTGCCCTGTCTTTGAGAGCTAAAAAGAACATTGTGCTGACAGATTAGAAGTGTAATTGAGACATGAACAGATCTCAAATCAAAGAACATGGAAGTACTTCTCGGGAGTATTTTGAGACTAAAATTGGACCCCAGGGCAATCAGCAAATAAGGACTGTAGTACAAGCAAGCAACTGCAAATTGGCAAAACCTGAAAACCAGAAGTTGGCTACGTGCAATATCCTGTATTTATTCCAAGAAAAGGTCATGCTCTCCCATCTTGCTTTGAAGATCAGGCAGTGAGAGATTACCATTTTACTAGTCCTTTCCTGCAGGTTTTTAATTGTCATCCTTTGCTCTCTTGCATGACATAATTTGGTTTCCCTAATTCACAAATCAGCATAAGCTAATAAAACTGTTTAAGAGACGGCAGCCTTGTGCCCAAGTTGTTTCGTTGTTCACTATTATCCCTCAACTAATCCTTCAACTCAAATAAAACCATAATTCATTTCCTGCTTTATTCTCCCTCTACATGAAATAGTTTTAGACAGGTTCAATCCTGTCTCACCACAAATGGGTAGGGTGAGGTTTTATCTTCTTGGAGTGTGCATGATTTCAATTACCTAATGTGTGTATCATCTATTATGTCAGGAAAAAACTTCTAAATTATTTTCAACAGGTTTAGCTGACTTTACACAATGATAAAAGATTCTAATGGAAATTAAAAATTAAAAAAAAAAAAGAAGAAAAAACCCCAAACCCACAAACCAACCAAGAATGTACTATCTTTTAGATTTCAAGTTAATAAAAGCCTCTCTACACCAGCCATACCAAACTTTGCCCATCTGAAAATCTTCTGACATTTTGTCTAGCAAAGGCTACTGCTGATGCTCTGCTAGTGTAAAAAATACTTAAGTTCCAGTTATGCCTACTTTAATGTTTTGGTGAAGCAGTATCACCTTAGGACAAAAGAGGTTTTGTTTGCATAAAACAGGCAGGCATCACTCTGATTTCTGTTTAGCATCCATTCCTCATCTGAAGCTTGATCCTCCACAGCTTTGTAATGCAAACAAACATTTCCCATGGTTTTGCATGTGGTCGACACAAGGTGTTACAGCCACTTTGTGCAGGGTGAATAAGTATCTGGGTGCATGGGAAGAGTAAACCAAGTTGTTAGCACTTTGCATATATCCTGCAAGTCCTAAACCAGAAAAACAGCATGCAGATCACGGGGCTCAAACAAGGAAGCAATCCATTCTTCCCCACGATTTGTAGCAGAAGGAAGAACATCAATGTTGCCTTCCCCATCTCTGTGAACATGGGACATCCCAGCCCATGTCCCATTTCCTATGTGAAAAGCATGTCTAACATGAGTGCCTACTCAGAGGGAAAATGCAGGACGGGAACATCTATCTGCAAGCAGTACAGAGATGGGAGCAGCACGTGGGGCTGAAAGGGCAAGGCTGCAGCTCACACCCTCCAGTGCAGGAGCCACTACTGCAGATGGCCACTGACTCTGCACAGCTAATGTTAGCTGTGAGTCATCTAGAAATTGCTGTCCCGAGACTTAATCTAAAGACCATTATTCATCATTGCTTCACCCACAGCAGGTATTTTTCACGACTTAAGGCTCAGGTAATCCAACACTTACTTTAGCATCAGCCTGTGCAAACAGACAGAGTTTTCAGCTGTACTCACTGGACTCATCTGCCCTTCCAAACCTCTTCTGGAAACCATAGAAGCAACTTTGCTCCCAGAGCCATCTCCACTGCTCTTGTAACCTATTCCCTAATCTCAACACCTTTGAACAAGTGACTGGAAAACAGATGAAGGTTCATCACCGCAGTTGTACTTAGGAAAAAATGCAGAACAGCTCAAACTCACACTCTGGATTTACATGATGCCTA